TAAAGAATGCTTTTAGCACCTTGTTGAATCAATGCCACGTAGAATTAAGGCAGTTCTGAAGGCGAAAGGGGGTCAAACACCGTATTAGCATGGTGTTCCTAATAATCCTTTAGGTGAGTGTACTGTAGATATGAGAAGTTGAATGTGAAATAATGAGAACATTATTCCAACCTATGATCTGTAGCTGCACATCTAAAAAGAATAGAGAACAGTTGTTCAAACACTCTGTAGAAGCAAAGATATTGAATTCTGTCACGATCAGCTCTGAACGATCCTCGTGTGTGCAACGCCCCCTCATTACCTCATGTTGACTACTGATTGTTTCCACCTATGTCTAGTTAATTCCAACCTGTCCTGTGTATTTAGTCCGCGTCCGAGTCCAGTCCCTTCAGATCTGTCATTGATGTTAGTAGTGTATTGTTGCCATCAGTCCTGTGTCGTCTAATAAACCCCTGTGCTACCCGTCTGACCGGCTCCCCTCGCCTTTCTGCCCGTCCGCCGACCACGCTACGTGACAGAATTCTATTTAGAAAATGAATATTCTTTAAAAATACACTAAGCCACATTTCCCCAAACTAAGTGCTGTAGTATGACCATGATGACACCCTAGATGTATGTAGTGATGGAACTACAGTTTATAGTAAGAAAGTTATTGAATTTTATTGGCAATAAAAACTCTTTAAAAATAGACACAGGTACATTTAACCAAACTAAGTGTTGTAGTATGACCATAATGATACTGTAGAGGTGTGTAGTGATTTTGATGGAACTACAGTTTATAGTAAGAAAGATTTTATTTTATTAGCAATAAAAATTCTTTAAAAATAGACACAGGTACATTTCCCAAAGTTATTGCATTTTATTTAATAATAATGTTTTTTTTCCTCAAACTAAATGAGGTAGTATGACCATAATGAGACTGTAGACGTGTGTTTTGATTTTGGTGGTAGTACAGTTGACAGGAGCAAAGTTATTGAATGTTATTCCTAATAAAAAAAAATCTTTAAAAATAGACTATGGTACATTTCACCAAACTAAGGTGTGTTGTATGACCATGATAACATTCCAAAAGCCTTTAGTGATTTAGGTGGCTCTTCACTCTTTGGAAGTGAAGTTATTGACATTATCCTTTGTTGATTTGCACTTTGTAGACGGTCCCTAAGCTCTCCTCAGACAGCGGACTGCTCATAGGGAGCAATGTTATCCGTATTTCTGTAAATACATATTGTTTGGACGAAAATCCGGTTGTAGCTCATTGTCTACCTTACCACTGTTAAATAGACCCGTATATTGTATTGTAAGAACGTTTTGTTTAAGATTTATTGAGCCGCGAAGTTCGAATCTGCCAATGTCTTTCCAACTTTACCTAAGTTAAATATTGCAATTAAGACATCACAGAAGCACGCGACACACCGCCTCATTCACATATAGCTAATAAAATATCTAAATGAAAAATAATATTAACCCATAAATAAATTATTCATATTTGCTAAAGTATTGTGACCGAGCCTCTGGGTTCGGATAGATTTATATTAACCCTCAATCGACACGAGATCCACCTCAGTTGCCGAACACTTCACTTCCTTTTTATTTATTTATTTTTTTTACATTTTTCTCCACCCTACGGCAGCTCTACCGAGACACAATCCACGAACCCTCTATATAACAAAGTTTGTTACATCTGTCCCCCCCACAAAAAAAAAAACGTCCCCGTTTCCACAAAAGAAAAGAACAATCACAAGCCCACACCCCACAGTAAACCAACTGACAACCCTGGGTGTCCAAAACCGCACCAAATCAATTCTAGGGCACAAAACTGTACCTATAAGGGAAATGTGTTTACAGGAAACAAAGAACAAAACAAGCAGAACAGTCAGTAAACCACAAAGTCTGAGCGATGTGCAGGAGGCCGCAAAACCCATCCAGCCTGCGACCGCTCCGTCCCGGGGTCCTGCAACAGTCTCCCCGACAACTCCGCATCCAATCGAAGCCCCGCCCTGTCCAACCCAGGAGACGGGGGGGCAGGTGGGGTGTCAGCCACAGAAGATGAGCTCAAACTGGACGAATGGACAGGGGTATCCGAAAGATGGGGAACTGGTAACGTGTATGGCTTTAGTCTATTGTGATGGACCACCTGCACCCTTCCATGCATGTCCAAAGGGTTGACAATCCGATACATTAGTCCAGCTTCCCCCCCTGCCTCCATCGCTTCCACAATCTGGTAGGGGCCCTTCCAATGGGGGGCCAACTTAGTACGGCTCTCCGTGGGGTCATTCAACCACACCATGGCACCAACAGCATAGCCCCCATGGTGAGCACCTTCATCATGGTATAATTTCTGTCTCTCATGTGCCTCCACCAGATTAATCCGAGCCGTGCTGAAAGCCACTTTGAGTTTGCTGACAAGCGCTGCCACAAAATCTGCATGACTTCCCCCATCCCTTTGGTCTAATACCCAGCAAGGTACCAGCACATCAGCTGGGACTCGTGCCTCACAGCCATGCATGAGGTAGAATGGGGTAAATTTTGTGCTAGAATGAACAGATATATTATAGGCGAAAGCCACCTGCTTCACATAGCTATCCCATTCCCCACCTTGTGACAGCAGTTTCTTAGCCAACTGATCGATTAAGGTTCGATTATGCCATTCTACCATACCATCCGATTTAGGATTGTAGGCAGTGGTGCGAGTTTTCTTAATCCCTAACAATTGGCAGAGGCACTGAGTAACTTCAGCCTCAAACTGCCGACCCTGGTCTGTATGTAAGGTCTCCGGAACGCCATGCACCAGCACAAAATCCTCAAACAAGCAGTGTGCCACCGTGTTAGCGGTCTGATTTGGCAGGGCATAGAGGTTCACAAATTTTGTAAAATAGTCCTCCACTACCAGCACATACCTGTTACCCCTTGAATTAGGATGAATTTACGGACAATTACGTCACCCACGTGACATGGAATTAACTTTACTATAATATTCTGGAAAGTTGTAATTGTGGATTAATTCCGATCGCGTGTGGACTGATCGTCCCGAAATTCAGATCAATCGTCCATGATTCACCCCAAATGTCACTAGACTGCACGAACACGTTATTTAACGATCCCCTGTAAAACCTAACTTTACCATAAATAACTTGGGCTCATAAAAGAAGCCAGGATGCTTATCTTGGTTTCGGGAGATAGGGTGGGGGGTCGCTATACAGCACCCTATATTGCCTGTAGGGGGGAACAGGGAGGCGATGCGCAAAGTCACCTGGCGCCAGGACGCCCATTGTATTGTATTATCGCAAGCAGAATCACTCGGACAAAAGGGGGAATTGGAGCACCATATATTGCCTGGGGGGAAGGGGTGAGCCTGGCCAGCTTACCCCCTGCCCACACGCAACTCTAAATTTAGTATAAAGGAAGGGGGAGATCCCAGTACTGACCGGAGTTCAGCCGTGGGATTCTGCTTGCGATAATACAATACAATGGGCGTCCTGGCGCCAGGTGACTTTGCGCAACGCCTCCCTGTTCCCCCCTACAGGCAATATAGGGTGCTGTATACCAACCCCCCCACCCTATCTCCCGAAACCAA